AAGAGGTCAGCTTACTTCAACAGAAGCAAGTCAACTTGGAGCTTCACCATATACACTCTAACTCAACAAAAGGAGTCAAAAGAGGCTTACACTGTCTAGACACTATTTCAGTCTATGTTAGTGTTGCCTTTGAAAGGGGACCGTGACGCCTAAGCGGGGGATGAATTAGGCAACTTAAAACTATAACTCTAAACTATGGTCTATTTTTCTATTCTTAGCAAAACATATGCAAAAGATAAACTATCTAAATGTGCAACTATGGTTTTGCTTGTGTGTTGCTATCTCTACCGTAAAAGGGGCTATACAAACAATATAAATGCGAAAGCTAAAGAGTAAGGTAGAGATATGCAAACTCCCGTCGACGACTCTGATATTTTTATCGAGGTATCGAGAAGCGCGCAAGCTTTCCTCTAGTCCTCATTGGAGCCCCTCGCAAGGGCCAAGCTTCCGGTCAGGTAACTCCGTGGATAGCCTCGGGCCTTCCCTACGCGCAAGTGGGTCTCTGGTGCTTTCCGCCGTCTTCACTATTAAGCTTTCGACCGAAACATCGTGGACCTGTTCCCTCCGGTACACGGTGGCGGCCACACCACAAATGCGGTTGGTGTGATCTTACAAGACTGCAAGCCCCTCCGATGTACAACAATGGTGCGCGCAAGCACTGAGTGGTAAGAGGTATGCAAACCTCACTAAACACTAGATCTAAACCTAGAGCAAGCACATAAGCGGTGGTCTAATCAACCTAAGCACTTCACAAAGCACCTATGCTAATCACCTAATGAATCACTAAAATGGTGTATCAACACCCTTGGTATATTTTCTCAGCTCCACACTACTCAAATGGCCGGTTGGGGTCTATTTATAAGCCCCACTGAGAAAGTAGCTGTTGGGGACCAAACCCACTTTTCTGCTACTGACCGGACACTGATCACGTCTTGACCGGACGTGTCCGGTCGTCCCAACCATTGGAGCACGCGTGTTGATCTGACTCTGGGCTGAGTCCGATCATCATTGACCGGACGCATCCGGTCGCGCTGGCGCCGCTCTGAAACCTCTTTGGACTCGATCGGACGCTGCACTTCGTGCGTCCGGTCGTCTAGTCTGCTGCGTCTGGTCACGCTGAAAACACTACCATGACGATGAACAGTGTCACCGGTGCGTCCGGTCACTGCTTCGCTCAGCGTCCGGTCACATCTGCCAACACTTGGTGTTGCCTGGCACTTGATCGGAGCGTCTGGTCACTCATAGGTCCGTGTCCGGTCACCTCTGCCGGGCTCGTTTCTTCGCGATTTTGTGTCCGGCTTGGTTCTAATCTTCGTGCTTTGGACTTTGCTTGACCTTGTATGTCTTCTATGCATCTTCACATGTCTTTCTTGAGGTGTTGATCATCGAATCATCACGTCGCCTTCGTCCAAGTCATGTTTTGCACCCTATTAAACTACAAAATAATTACTTGCAAATTCATTAGTTCAATTTGGTTGTATTGATCATCAAACACAAAAATCCAAAGTAAATGAGTCTAGGGTCCATTTTCCTTACAACCTCCATTCTCTTCGATGCCATTATTGCTCTCTAGACCACCAGAACCAGCGTCTCTAGCATGGTATGATTTTGTACCCTACAAAGTGATAGAACTTAAATTGATGAGTGATTCTAACAGTAAAGACAACACATGACAACTCAAGTCCAAGAGATATAATTTGAATAAGTTAAACAATTTGAATAAGTGAATGAAATGAGATGTATTTTCTCCAATTCCTCTTGTAGCACAAAGAAAAAATACAGCGAGACCTTATGTGATACAAGATGCCCAATGCTAAAAATGGGCATAGTTAACATTGCATAACAGTTAATATACACAAGTAGGACAACCAATCGACGTTAATCAACCTGCAGCCATACATGTTGGTGCTCACAGCCAAAGTATATGTAACTGAACATCACACGATACGAAGACACGAAAGCTAGATATAGACCTGTTCAATTGGTGGCATAGAAGCATTTGCATTTGCACTTGCATTGACTGACTGCAGGATGTCTGTAATTTCTGCTGGTAATTCCATGTTCAGCTTGTCAAAAATATCCTAAAACACAAGATGATTAGAGAACATTTTGAAGCAAATGATTAGGTACATATAGTATGTCAAATTAGCTCAAATACCATCGTATGTTTGGTTAGTACAAGTCCAATATTGTTGTTTCGAGCGTTCTGCTCCAACTGCGCATTCCTCCTCAAAAGATATTGATAAGACATTGAATTTGCTTGGCTTGTTGTGTTTGTCCTCCTACTAGATCCTTTCATCTCAGTTTTTCTTATAGCACCATTTGCTATTGGCACACGGCCACGAGCTAAGCCACGACCACTACTTTTGTATAGCACAATAGGATCAAGTTGTGCATCACTTCTGCGCTGCTCACAATCATCTAGATGTTCAGCCTCAAGAGCAGCAAAGCAATCATCCTATGAAACAAAAAAATTCATGTTACCCTTCATATCATACTACAGAACCTTAGATATTTAAAAATCAGGTGGAACATACAACACGCTGTTGGGCCTTTTGGCTTGGAATTGGACCACTATTTCCATTGCTATCACAATTTTTGACACCCGACTTCATGGAGCAAAATGTATTCATGTCAGTGGCTGCGTGTGGACCATAAGTCTTTCCCTGTGACATAGAGATCTAATTAGAAAGTTGTACAACACAACAGTAATATATGGACATGTAGAGTTCAGCTCATCACAACTTACCAGATATTGTTTGGTTTGACCATTTGGTCGAGATCCGCCCCTGACAGGAATCTAAACTCTTTGCTGATGGCTATATTATTTTCCTGACGGTTCTGACAAACCGACAGGAAATATCTTCCTGATTCCCGTCGGTTTTTAGTGGCAGACAAGAATGGTCTCGGATTCCCGTCGGTTTTTTAAAAACCGTCAGGATTTCGCTTAGCCGGCTGGAATTTTCCCTAGTCTGGTAGTGAGCTGCCGTAGCATCGCTTGGCTCATGATGCGTCGCCCTTCGGCTGCCTCGATGACGACACAAATCCGTAGTAGCAAGCGTTGCAGGCTCTGCAGCCTCTCCTCCATGTCTGGCGATGCAGGTGTTGAGTATCTGTCGATCAGAAAAGATATGGACCTGCTTGCGAGTTCACCAATGGCTGCGGTGAGAACTACCTCCATCGGGAAGGTCTAGATCCCCTCCAATGTTTGCAAGATGATGGTGGATACTGGTATGGAACCGCAGCAATATCAGTCCAGTGTAATGTGGAGCTTTTTTGTTAATGACGAAGGAAGAAGGAACTACTCCTAACTAATAACGGTGGGGTCTTCTAGGTTTAACCGAAGGATGTAACGACCTAGAGTTTATTTTATTCCATAGTAGGTTCCCAAGGGCATGGAGAAATGCTTTCAATCTTGTCCTATATGTAGTTCTTGCTTAGGATCTGACACCATCAAAATGGAATCTACGCAAATGACGAGAGAATCTTTATGCATTATTTTGTCTATTTATTTATGTTCTTCTATACTCATCTACTAGTCCATTTATCAACTCATGCTCTATATATGTAGGCCAGTAACTTAAAATGCATTTCAAGCAAGCGCACGCGCACACACGTACGCACGCACCAGCCCCTAAAAATAATATAAAGTAACCCCTAAAATCTATAGTTAAATTATCTACCTCTACCATCATGGATATAGCATACACATTTTTTTGTAGTATTTATTTAAGTAATCTAACATTATAATATTTTCCAAAAGAAAAAAACATTTTTTTTGTTGTGGCCTGAAGGCATAATTCCGGTGTGGTCATATCGGAGCAATGGATGGATCACTATCGTGCCAACAACCGGCAGTGATGCAATGGGTCGATGTCAGACCACATATAACTGGCAGTGATATCACGGATCACTAACGGGTGAGCATGACCCAACATTGATAGAAGAGCAGCACTGCCGGATGGAAGCAACCTGACAATGATCGAAGGGGTTCACGTACACTGGGTTTTGTTTTGACTGAGCAGTGAAACTTCTGTCCCTGTGTATAACCAACACGGCCCTTCCGAAATTTCATCTCCCTGCGCCACTTTCAAATTTTCATCTCCCCACATCCATCAACTCCATGTTGCTGCCACCGCAGTGAAATTGGTCAAATTTTGATTTTAACTTTACATGTGACGTTTTCTTGTCTCATAAGCCTTTCCCTCGAAACTGGTAAAATTTGAAGACAGCGACAATGTTAACAGTAGCTATATAGTTGTTCGTGATTTGGGATATACGGCAAGCATTATATTATAATACTAGCTAGCTTAGCCGCTTAGGCTACATTTTAACTACATCTAAATTTTGGCCCAAACTATCATACAACAAGATGTTTCCCTAGCTAGTTAAGCATGCAAATTCAAGCAACATATGGGGTATTAAAGTAAGTAATTTACCTTTATATGTTAGAAAAAGTTAAAGTACTTTACCTAGTTAGTGCTACTTGCAAGGGTGGCAAAATCACAGGATAATTGTCATCACATATTGATGCCACGTAATTCATCATGTTGGCAGTGTAATTTTTAATCTGAGATGCGATTTCTAGGGTCCCACCATAGGCACTTTTGTCAGTGGAGCCTGGAGGCATGGAGTGCAAACGGCGAGTTGATCAGCTAGATAGTGCTCGATCTTGTCACCAAAGATCATCGTTTCATCTAGTCTTTCTCACCTTTGGACTTTGGAGTGCAGGTTCCTTGGTGCCGTCGAAAACTACATCCACCACAAAGACGATGGGCATGCGTGTCTCTATCTCTAGGCTCCACATGTGGTGACGGGTGGCTGCTTTATCTTCTACCTCCCGTCACACCGGTGTACCCGCTGCCCGCCGGTGGCACATGCCGTCGTGCTCACTTCATCACTTGCGTCACACCAGCTGCACATATATAGGAGATCTCAGCTGGTCACACGTACGCCACTTCATTTGGTGCTTGGCCGTAACATTGAAGAACGACCAAACAATGGTCGCTTGCACCAACTTGAGGCTTTCGGCGGCGGCGCTCCTGGCAGCGCTGGCCGCGGCGGCCACCGTCTGCTCGGCGCAGCAGCTCCGTCGCAACTACTACGCTGGCGTGTGCCCAAACGTGGAGTCCATCGTCCGCGACGCGGTGACGAAGAAGTACCGGGAGACGTTCATCACGGTGGGCGCGACGGTGCACCTCTTCTTCCACGACTGCTTCGTGGAGGGCTGCGACGCCTCGGTGGTGGTGGCCTCCACGCCCAACTCCACCGCGGAGAAAGACCACCCCGTGAACCTCTCCCTGGCCGGCGACGGCTTCGACACCGTGATCCGCGCCAAGGCGGCCGTCGACGCGGTGCCGCGGTGCCGGAACCGGGTCTCCTGCGCCGACATCCTCGCCATGGCCACCCGCGACGCCATCGCGCTGGCCGGCGGGCCGTCGTACGCGGTGGAGCTCGGCCGCCTCGATGGACTCTCCTCCGCGGCGACCAGCGTGGACGGGAAGCTGGCGCCGCCGACGTTCGACCTGGACCAGCTCACCGCGCTGTTCGCGCGCAACGGGCTGTCGCGGGCCGACATGGTGGCGCTGTCGGCCGGGCACACCGTGGGGTTCGCGCACTGCGGCACGTTCGCCGCGCGAATCCGCGGGGGGGCGGCGGCGCCGGACCCGACGCTGAACCGGAGCCTCGTGGAGAAGCTGGCGGCGTGGTGCCCCGACGGCGTGGACCCCCGCGTGGCGGTGACCATGGACGTGGTGACGCCGCGGGTGTTCGACAACCAGTACTTCCGGAATTTGCAGGTCGGGATGGGCCTCCTGGCGTCGGACCAGCTGCTGTACACGGACTCCAGGTCACGGCCCATTGTGGACGCGTTGGCGCGGAGTAGCGTGGCGTTTGAACGGGCCTTCGTGGAAGCGATCACGAAGATGGGCCGGATCGGGGTCAAGACGGGGGCCCAAGGGAACATCCGACGTAACTGCGCAGTGCTCAATTGACCTGGTGAAATCTAAAACTGAGGTGTTTGTTGCTCTCATGCTCTGCACTTGTACTCGTCATCGATATGATGAACAAATTTGCCATGCTAAGTTCTTGTGGTACAGTGGAAGTAAATGAATTCTCTCAGGGGCTCGTTTGCATCCCTTCATTTTGAAGGAATTGAAATCTATATAATGGATTAGGCTATTTAACTTGTAATTTGACATTCCATACCATTCCCAAGCTCACAAATAAGCCTATCTCAAATTAATAGAGTGGGAGATGGAAATGGATTCTATAGATCACTATGTTATAATTCTATTCTCCAACTTATAGCACACTCTTCAACCCACTTCCCTACAATAAAAATATAACATATAAGTATGTCCCTTGTATACGTAACAATAAATATACAAATATATTCTATATATAACTATATTAGCTTAATTAATCTATGCCTAAATTGTAATTATTAAAATGAATTCAATTCCAATGATCCAAATAGGCCCTTATATATATTGGAAAAAGGAAAGGATATTGTACGTATCAGTTTTTGGTCTTCATTTTTTTTCTTTTCTTTTCTCAAACAACGCAGATGAGCTACGTGTCATTTCATTAAGAAGAAATAAAAATTCGGAGAGACAAGACTACAAGTCTACTCCTACAACAAGGGAGAGAAACTCAACCCACACTCACACCTCAGTGCACTAAACCACCACTCCTATCTTTGTGCTTAGCTGAAGAAGCATCTGCATGTTTTAGAGCAGAGGCTCCCGCCATGCACCGAAGAACACCCTCATTAGTTACAGCTTGCATAATTCCCAAGCGACCAAGCAGATAATTAAAGAATTCAGCCCTTTCCTCATCTTTTTATCGAACCCCTTGATTTGGTCTTCATATTGAATGATTGAGGTTGATCTTTACCGTGGATCGGCTGATGAGATGGTGAAAGGAGTAGAGTATTTGGTAAAGCAGGCAATGAATTATTGGCCATGGATGACGAAATGGATCGGATGACCTAATAAACGACCCACTTGTGTCAATCTAGGCACGGCAAGCAGTGAGATAGGAGTGTGTTTAGTTATACTTTTTCCATACTGCCAAAATGGCAAAGGCACTTTATTTCAAATGTGGAGGCATGGAGAGTGCAAACGTACGTATGGTCTGGTCACTTGTAGTTGTAGAGCTCGATCGAGTAGTTACTCACCTCCATGGCTCCATGTATATATCTAGTACTGTATATATATAAGTAAACTTTTGACTCTTCAGCTAATTCAGAATGAATTCATCTTCACTGTTCACACTCTCTCACCTCCATGTATATACTTATCTAGTACTATGTGGAGGCTAGTGCTTGGCGTGGTTATCAATCATTTTTCAGTTCTAGTGCACTGCCACACTCACGTCCATCTCTAGCTACCCTAAATGAACCATTAACAACAACCCTCCTTTCCCTCGGCAGATTTTTTTCTTTTCTTTCGAGAGCGTGTCTCGATACAGGAACAGTAACAAATCAAGACTTTGTTCTATCTTTGTTCGCCAGCGCATGATCCACCACTTTATTATTATCTACATACTTTCCATGAACCAGTTGAAATCGACCTGAGACTGTGAGTCAGTCTTTGACATTATTCTGACTGTCAGCAGGCCGGGCAGAGATAGGTGTCACTTTCAGTTTCAGTCCACTGGCAAGTGGTGGACGGCTAGTTAGCTCGCCCAGTCGCCCTGCGCCGTCGATTCCACGATCAGACGGTCCATATTATTAGTCCGGTCCTCTTGAGCAACAGCCATATCCTCCAATTCCTATACCACTATACCGCATCGTCTGTACTCATCACTTCATAATGGGCAGAAGCACATTGAGCAAGTGCAGGCTGTCGTAGTGCAAACTAACATAATGGTCACTTAGGCCTCGTTTAGATTGCAAGTTTTTTCACTCTCTCTCCATCACATCAAATCTTTGGACACATGTATGAAATATTAAATGTAGATAAAAAAATAACTAATTACACAGTTTGATTGTAAATTACGAGACGGGTCTTTTGAGCATAATTAGGTCATGATTGGATAATAATTGTCAAATACAACCGAAAGTGTTACAGTGCTAAATACTGATTCCTAACCCCAATCTGAACGAGCCCTTAGACTTGTGCTTTAATTAGGTTGTCACATCACATACAGTCACATCCATTACTCTAGACGCAATGCTAACTACTAATTAATATATATATATATATATATATATATATATATATATATATATATATATATATACTGTATATAGGAGACTCATCTCCTCCTTTCTCTGAGCAAATATATAGGAGACTCAATGAGAGCACCGGATGATGCATCAATAGAACGGTAGACAGACAGACAGACATGTTAGTTGATCTCCACCAATAGACCCAACGGTCTATTGAGTTTTTAGATCTGTGCTCTGATCAGGGGCGCCCAACCCTAATATGGTTGGTGGACCCCCTGTCACACAGCACTATAAAGAGAGGTGGGGACCAGGGCTTTAACTACGAGGTTGACCGGAGCCGCCGTGAACCACCAACAGTGAAACCTAACCCGATCTAGAGAGAGTGCTGCCAGCGACGGGAAGACCCACAGACGTCGCCGTCACCACCGGACCGCGGCACCTCGCGTCACCATCGCCACTGGACCTCGCCACCACTACGCTAGACTTCACCGCGCCGAGCTGCCACAACACCGGCGTCCAAGCCGCTGCGGCGCCATGGACTGAACAATGACCTAGGGCGAAGTACATCAACAGTTTCCCCATCTAAGTAAGAGTTTACCCCCTGATCTACGTTTCAGAGAGGTACTCTGTACCTAACAATGGTACCAGAGCTGGGTTAACAGTGTGTAGATCTAGTACGGGATAGAGAATTGAAAAGAAATCGAAGAGGAACAGAGGGTTCGATCCGTTTCGGATTGAAACCCTAACCCTAACCGGGTAAAAGAAAATAGAAAAGAGACAGGGAGAGTGGCGGGCATCACTCAACTGCCGGTCACCACCGCCACCGCGCGGGGAAAGGTGTCGCACCGCCGTTTTCGCCGGCGCGCGGCAAGAAAAGAACAGAACCCGTTCGGATCTGAGAAGAGAAAAGAAAGGGATCTCGGCACGCGAAGCCGAACCCTAACCCACGAAGCACTCGCTGGGGAAGATGAATAGTGACCCCAGTGAGTCAAACCCTAACCCTAACCCCAAATCGGTTCAACTCCGAAAAGAAAAGAAAGAACATCCAAAAGAGAAGAAGGGGAAGAGGGGAAGGGGCTTATCTCGCCGATCTCGAATCAAAACCGAGAGAAAAACCGAATCGGGTTAATTTGAACCCTAACGAAACCCTAACCCTAACTCGCGATGAGGAAGAGGAAGAGAGCGATTCAGTACAAATAGAAAAGAAAAGAAATCAAATGAAAGAGATGAACCGAATCGAACGAATTGAATCGGGAAAAGAAACCCTAACCCTAGAAAGAGAAAGGGGACGGTAGAGAAGGGGCTTCCTACCTGGGGCCCGGCCGTCTCGTCTTCGCCGCTGGTCATCTCCATGGCTGGTTCGCGGGAAGAACCAGAGGCACCGACCGGGCAGGTCACGCCACAGCGTGGCTCTGCCTCGGGCTCGGGTGTCAAGGGCACCGCAGCGCAGCCCTTCGACGGCAGTGCACTCACCCTCGGGTGGACGCACGCACCGGCGAAGGGGCGCTCGGGCGCCGCCACTTCCTCCGGTCGCCATGGCTACTGCGCTGCTCCTTCTCTCTTCCGTCGCTGCGCTGAGAGGGGAGATGGAGGGAGTCGAAATGAGATAGGGTTTCGAGGAGGCCGCCGCGCCGGGGTTTTGTTCGACCGATGCACGCGCGCGGCCGTCCGATGAGATCTGACGGTCCAGATTCATTGGACCGACTTTCGGCCCCGGCGGGCGAGCGTGGCGGGCCACTTTCACGGCCCAGGCCCAGGTTGTGGCCTGGGCGTGGGGGAGGCGCCGAGAGCGCCAGACGAGAGCACTTCTTTGCTCTGAAAGGGCCGTGGATTGTAGCTGATGGGGCGCTTTCTATCGATTCTTTGCAGGTAGGGCGTAATGAGCGATAATAGAGTTTTGAAGTTTATTTAATTTTCAGAAGCAGATTTCGATGAATTTTGTCTAGTTTAATATCTCTGTTAAAATTTGAACCAACGGGATAATTTTTCAGAGAATATTTGAGAAAAATTTAATGCTTCTGAAAAATAGATAATGAATTTTTTTTCATATTTTCCGCTGCTAAAGAAATTGTTTATTCTCCAGTTATTTTGAACCAACGTGATATTTAATTGGAGAAAAAGAGATTTTGACATGATTATGATGTTGTTATTTTCTGACCAACGTTGTTAATAACAATATCGTAATTTTAATGATTTTATGCATTAATTCTATTTCTGCCCAACGGTGATGTAGAATTAGTGTATAAGAACAGTTGTATGTTTTAATTTTGATCAACGTTGGAATCAAGGCATGTAATTGTTATTATTTTTTTTTATATCACTCTATATGAATTGTGTTTTAAGGCAAATACAACTTGATGGGTTGTATCAAAGAGATCCCCACTCTCAAAGGTGACAACTACACGGAGTGGAAGAAAAAGATTGACCTGGCCTTCATCTTGGCTAAGGTGGTCTGGATAGTCACCTCACCGTGTCCCACTGAGCCTGTGGCACCGGTGAGGGAGACAAACGAGGCTGACGCCGCTTTGGCAACTAAAGAGAAGGATTTTGAATCCCAAAAGATGTCATATGACCTTGAGCATAGGAAGTGGGTCACTGCCAACAAAAAATATTTGGCTGTGATAAAGAACACGATTGAGCCTGTAATTATAGGCTCAATCCCAGAGTGTGACATGGTCACCGAGTACCTCGATAGAATAAAGAGTCAGTTCACTGGCTCTTCAAAGACATATGCTACCCAGCTGATAAAGCAGCTGGTGACAGAGAGGTACTCTGGAAATGGTGGCATAAGAGAGCACATACTATTTGTTATCACTA